GAGAAAAAAAAAATCCAAAATTTCTGAAGGAATAGTTTAGGTTAAAAATTTACAGAGACGAAAGAGGGAGGGGGTGTAAATAAGTCTTAAAACTCCCTCACTACGATCGTGTGGTAACCATAAACTAACTTTTAGTTTGTAATTGTTGGACGTTGCATTTATGGCGAGTTTCTTAACGTGTCGTGTATGTAGATACCTACCTCAAGGTTATAATTGTACTGACCTTTGACCCTACTGCTAAGATGGGCTGGTTACTCTGGTGGGAAGTACCTCTTTAAAACAAGTTGACAAGAGCGAGAAGTAAACAAAGGCGACGCCTGAGTATATAGATATTTTGAAAATATAATAAAAAAAGGGAAATTATGTTTATGTTAAATTAGACAGTGAAAAGCCCTGGTGGTTATTTACTCTTTAAGGGTTTAGATTATGTACCCCACAATAATCAGATATTAATTGAAATTTACTTAAAATCCCTCAAAGTATTTCAGAAAGGATTCCAAAAAATAATAAAAGCATTGAATAGAAGGAAACGAAGTCATAGCGGAAAACATTTCACATCTAGTGAGCAGAAGTTTGTTTCTTTTCTGGGGGAATTTCAAGTCGGATTTCCCCAAAACTAGGACGTCGTACAGTTAAAGGGGGTTCAGGGGATCGAAAGATCACCCCTATTAAAAATCGCAAATTTCCTTAGTGGCGTAAATCACCCAAACTCGTAAAATAGATGACTGAAAAACTAAAGATGCCGGTCAGATAGAACATCTAAATGTTGTCATAGATATATTTATAGTTTAAAATGTTTTTTTTGTCTGGCTTTGTTTCCTTTTGAGATTCTAGCTTCCAGGCCACACAGCAATATGCTCTTTATTATAGTTTCGATAACCGCGGGGATAGAACACAGATAGCCCATCTTGTAGCTTAACAACAAATCAGGCAAACAAACTAAACCAATCCATGTTAGTTCGCAATAACCTCTCGCTTTTTGGATTGATATATGTATATATAATTCAAAACAATTACTTTGGTTTGGTTTGTTTAGAATCTCGCGCAAAGCTACACGAGAGCTATCTGCGCTAGCCGTCTCTAATTTAGCAGGGATAGACTGGAGGGAAGGCAGCTAGTCATCACCACCCACCGCCAACTCTTGGGCTACTCTTTTATCAACGAATAGCGGGATTAACCGTTACATTATACAGTCCCCACAGCTGAAAAGGTGAGCATGTTTAGTGTGACGGGGATTCGAACCCGCGACCCTCAGATTGCGAGACGAGCGCCCTAACCACCTGGCCATGCCGGCCCACTTTTCTGATATAACCCATAATGAAAGAGTTAGCACAAAATAATCACCAAAATAGTCCAGTAGATTTAAAACGAACAAGAAACTCTAGTGTTTTCGTATACTTCAGCTCAGATAAGCCATTGTAAAGCTTTACGTCAAGACAAATTAAACAAAAAAATAAATAAAAAGGAGCCGAGCATAGCATGATGGCTAGTATGCTCGTACTTTGAATCCGAGGCTTACGATTCGCGGCCCGTGGCCACAGGAACACACTCCACACGTTGGTGATGTGGGTGCGTTGTAAGAGTGATAGTCAGATCTCACTACTTCATGCTGAAAAGGTAGCCCATGAGTTTACGGTGGGTGCTATTGACTAGCTGCCCTTCTTATAGTCTATTAGTTCAAAATTAGAACGACTATGTGTGAAAAGTTTGTTTAGCTTTGCACAAAATTCCTTTTTAGTTCTGCGCTTAAATTCTGAAACAAATAAATACCCCTCTTCCCAAATCATTATTTAAAGTTTTAGCTTAATCCTATAAACTGTGATTCTCCCAAAAGATACATTAAAATGACACCCCGATTATTAAGATTGTTTTCAATAATATATGTGCCCCCCCCCCAGTGGCACAGCGGTATGTCTGCGGACTTACAACGCTAGAAACCGGGTTTCGATACCCGTTGTGGGCAGAGCACAGTTAGCCCTTGTGTGGCTTTGTGCATAATTAAAAACAAACAAACAATAATATATGCTTAAATACCCCTTAGTGTGTAGTTGTTTGGAAAATTTGACACGAAAACGTGGATGTGAGATTTGATCATCACTATCACTACCTATGACGTACCTGTAGCTTGTTGCGTATTGGCTTACATTCAATGACGTCATTTCAAAACCGAATAAAAATTAAGACGTTTTCTTCACTGCCGACTAAATATTTACTTGGTAGCGTTAAGTCTCTCAAACTTGAGGTGACGTGATTTTTCACAGTATTTTTTGGAAAGGTAAGGCCTAGTTACTAACCTGTCTGTGTCTTAGAAAAGCAGCTATTTAGAATATTAGCCGATGTTAACATGGATGGTAAACACACGCATGTATAATATGCTAGACGCTTATCGTGTACAAATTATGTATATCACTGCGCTGAAATTTGTTCTGATAACGTATTTTATAAAATGTATTGCGTAGTTCTCAATACCCCCCCCCCCTCCAGTGGCACAGCGGTATGTCTGCGGACTTAAAACGCTAGAAACCGGGTTTCGATACCCGTGGTGGGCAGAGCACAGATAGCCCATTGTGTAGCTTTGTGCTTAATTACAAACGAACAAGTTCTTAAAAGGTGCGTTTAAAGTTATTGCATTACTCAACTGTATCGTGGTACAAGTTTAATTAATCAACTCAGAATTTAGCACTATGTGAATGGTTTAGTTCTATAGAATATTTCACTGTTTATTTTTGCTTTGTTTTGTTGATTGAGCAAGCGAATGACGTTGAGAAAATATTGAGTTTATCATATGTAATAACTGTTATAATAGGTGGCTCTAATGTTATGTTTTGTGTTAGTATTTAGCACAAAGCTACGGAATGGGTTACCTGCACTCTGGCCAGGCATGGCCAGGTGGTTAGGGCGCTGGACTCGCAATCTGAGGGTCGCGGGTTCGAATCCCCGTCCCATCAAATATGCTCGCCCTTTCAGCATTGGGGGCGTTATAATGTGATGGTCAATCCCCCTATTCAAATTCGATGACGAGGAACCCACTTTGAGACTAATAAAGCTTGGAGACGGCTTGAATGGGTAATGAAGAAAAAC